ATTTTAATTTGGTGAAAAAGACTCATTTTTTTGCTCTAACAGTTTCATCAAATATGTATCAAATCTAGAATTTCACTTTTATTTCAACAAACTAAGGACCATTGTGCCTTTCATCAAACCACTATTCATAACCGTTACCGAATGTCCTCCCAAATGTCCTTCCGGATGACCACCTCGAATAAAAAATTTGCTAAAAAATTGCACCAGCCGGATGTCTACCTAGTCGACTGGTGTTCTGATAAAGTTTCAGAATTTTTCATTTGAACACTTGATATAAAAGGAAGTCTTTACTCAAATTTTTATTCAAATTTAATAAAAAAAAATTAATGTACTGTTAAAAATGCATTAAGTAAATGGACAAAATCTTAATCTGTAAATGAAAAATAATGTCGATGTGATAAATATCATTGGTTCAGATTGGACGTTTAACTCAAACTTCTTTGAGCTGGAAAGGAACTAAGGGCATCCACAATGGAATAGTCAAAATTATTTGTTAAAGTGTGTTATATGACAAAAAGTGATAAAAATGGGGCCCAAAAATGTTTGTTAAAATGTGTTAAGAGTTTGTTAATTTTAGAGAGTGAGTGGTGGTGCAATGGATGTGTTAAGGGGTGTGTTAAATATATATATATATATATATATGTGGTATATAATAAATAAAATAAATAAATAATTTAGTTTAATAAAAAATTTCAAGCTTAAAATTAAATTTTAAGTCCAAAAAAAAAATCTCAACAAGGAAAAAAAAAAAATCCGTTGACCGGGTCAACCGGCCGGTCAACCCAAAAGACAAAAAAAACACTTCCCTGCGTTAGCTAAAGCGCTAACCGCAGTTAACAAACCATTTAGCAATTGATGCTAACGAAGCCCACTAACACACGCACTAACAACTCCATTACAGCCCCAAACACACACCACTGCTAGCCAAAACTTGGCAACTGACACTAACAAACGCGTTAGTGTGTCCATTGTGGATGCTCTAAGCTCTAATAAAAGAAAGTAAGGTCCAACATTAGTTTAGTGTAATTTAAGATGCAACTCCATAATAAAATTAGGAAGTAGCAACTTGTTTAGATTAGATTAAATTACAAATATACTTCTTAAGGTTTACTTAAAATATAGATTGTCCTTTGTAATTTAAAAAATTATGAATATTTTACTGTCAGAATTCTTTTATTTAATAAAATTAACTGAAAAAATAAAATTCATAATTGTTCTTCTATATAATAATAAAATTATCTAAATTATTAATTGAAATATATTTCTAACATCATTAAAAACTGTTAATTAACTTGATAATTTATTAATAAAATAGACGATTTATAATGAAATTAAAAATCTCAAGAGACGAACGTAATTTTTAAAACTATATAAAATAATTCGTATTTTAATCAATTTTTATGAGGTGTATTTATATTTTATACTTCAGATTAAATTAAAGACATTTTTTTAGACATTTATCTATGGATTTTGTGTGGATTAAGGTTGGCACCACGTAAGTTCTTTGGGCTAAAATATTATTTAATTAAGGGAGTGCAAAAGGTTAGATTAATAAATCAGAATATCCGAATGAGCACATTAGTACTAAGGCATTCATGTCCCTAGACTCTGCCTGGGTCTATATTCCTCCATAAATTGTACTTTGCACTTCTCAGCCACTCATATGAAGAGTCAAACAAGAGGTTGGAAGGTGCTAAGCTAAAGCTAATCCAAGATTTTTTGACTTTTATTTCCTAATGCCTTGAGGAGATAAGTTATTCTCCCTACCCTATCTATTCATATATATTTTTTTTTGAATTTTCTAATGAAAATCATATATATAAAAATTATCTTAATAGAACAACTATAAATAAAGAAACAAATCATATTTTATTTTATAAAATAAATGATTTAAATTTAATTATATTACCATAAAATGGGATTTATTTCTATATTTATAATTTTTTGATGAAATTGAATTTTTGCATGAATAATTTTTATTGCGAGTCTTACAAAATAGACGGTCCAAATTATCGATGAAGTTCAGATTGAAACCTATAAGAAAAATATAGAGAGATGTGATATGCATGAGAACTTATTCCCTGCAAGATCTATGACTATAAATTATTTAATAGTTCTAAAATATTACGTGTTTGAATGTCTAACCATCGATATTTTATAATTTATCTACCATCTTCTCATTTCTAAAGTCATGTATTTATTTGTGTGTCTAACGAAAAACAGAATAATGACTAGTTTAATTATCAAATTAGATTGAGTGAAATTACGGGTACGATATAATTAATTGATAAAATTATTAATATGCCAGTATTAAATTAATTAAATGTAAGAACCTTGATCACATGAAAGAATAATTTTACTGTTTTTATAAAGTAAGGGTAAAACAGTCTTTAGCCATCTAATAATTCTGTAGAATTAGATTGTGAATTTCATCCCTCCCGAGAAATACTAGTCCGATCCCGTGGGTATTAACAATCTATGGAGAATCTTAATTTTATGTGATTTTCAATTAATATGATTTTGATCTGGCTCGCGAATCAGCAAAGCTCCAACGTTGCAATCGGACAAAAATTCCTAGATGAAAATGGGTAACGTTAGACACATGCGTTTAATCCTAAACAACCAGTCATCACAATGAGAAAACATGTGTAACCTCAGACCTACAACAATGGGTCAATAAAGACAACGTACAAGTTATTCAATGCTCATAGAACATGATTAAATAATGTCTCAATGAGATTGTAATCAATAAAGATGATGAAAATTACCACTTTATAATGAAAATTTGAGAAATAATAAAGACATAATATTTAGTGAATAGTGTATGAAGATGAATATTTCAACTTTTGCGAAACGACAGGTGAAAAGAGTAATGCTAGACACCTCAAATATTCTATCAAAAGTTTTACCAAATATCTCACCTACACAATGTGGGTCCCATGTGGGTCCCACACCCATGTGAGACATTTGGTAAAATTTTTAATAAAATTTTTGAGACCTCTAACATTTTTGCAGGTAAAAATTCCACACTTTGTGTGTGGCTTGTGTTCGGATGTTCCGAGCATTTCTTTTTGGGTCGAACTCCTCTCTAGTTCGGATCCGAACTGGACGTCCAGTTTCAGCAAGCAACGAATGCTGCCCATGTTACTACTTTTTGCCACTTACAAATCCAATCCAATACTAAGGCTTGGTTTGTCATAATTTAAACAAATTAAAAAATTAAAAATTTATTATCTTATTTAAGTTATATTATTTTATTTAAGTCATGTTATTTGTCTATCACATCACTTTAAATTAAATTCATATTTTATAAAAAGTAAAAAAGTGCATTTATTTAGATTATCTCAGACCACTCTTAAGTCTTGGTTTGACGTCTCCAAAAAAAGTCAAAAAAGTCACTACCCTATTTAAGTCATATCACCTCTCTATCACATCGGCCTCGTTTGGAAAGTGGCTATTTTAGTAGGCTATTTGGCTTTTTGACTATTTTAATAGGTTATTTTGATTTTTGTGTTTGGGAAGATGAGATGGATTTTATTTGAGTTACTGTATTGAAAAATGTGTTAAAATGATGTTTGAAATTAGAATGATAAATTTGTCCCTAAAAATATATTTTTTTAAATTGCTGTCAAGGGGTAAAATCGTAATTTATGCACTAATGGAACAATTTCTGCAGCTGACAGTGTAGGCTGGCCGGCTGTGCAGCCTATTTTTTTTTTTTGAAAAAGCTTGCAACAGTGGTCTTTTCGGCTAAATTTTCATTTTAGGCTATAATAGCCTCTTTAGCCACTTCCCAAACACCGCTATCATTTTAAACCCAATCCATATTTCATAAAAAGTCAAAAAGTATATTTAGATAATCCCAAATCACCCTTAAATTTAAATAAAAATAATAATTCGATAAAATTTAAACTTTTACCCATGGTACGGACATGAGAGAAGTTGTTCTCTCCTTTTTAGTAAGGATACACTATGAATACATTTTTTGAAATTTACTTAAAATATAAATTATTTTTTGCGGTTTAAAAAATTACAAATATTCTCTTATTAGAATTTTTTATTTAACAGAATTAACTAAAAGAATGAAATTTATAATTGCTCTCCTATACAATAATAAAATTACATAAATTATTAATTGAAACATATTTTTAACATCATTAAAAATTATTAATTGACTTGATAATTTATTGATAAAAATAAATAATTTGTTATGAAATTAGAAACTTCAAGAAGTAAAATGTAATTTTCAAAATTACAAGAAGCGATTCGTATTTTAATCAAATTTCAAGAAGTGTATTTGTAATTTACCTTTTTAATAATGTCCAAACTTATCCAATACAGGTGGTTGGTGGACAATTACGTGAATTCTAGCTATATTTTGTAAGAAAATTTAGTCAAAATCTTTTTATTAGATATTTATTTGGTGAAAATGATAATTTAATTTATTTTATTTCATAAATCCCATAAAGAGAAAATATATAATTAAGTAAGGATAAAGTAACATATATTTTTTTTTTTTGACAATATTATTAGATTAACATGGTACTGTGAATCAGAATAACATATTATCGTGAGATAAAATAACATGTTACTGTCAAATAGAATTTAATATTTTAATAATAATAATATGTGTTAAATTTTTTAAGAAAAACATTTGTGTTTATTTTTAATATATTAAAATTCTATAGTGAGGGAATTTTGATTAAATCACTCTATTTTGTGTTTGGTGAATCCAAAATGAGCATGTCCTAGAGAGATTGCATGATAGGTAACATGAAATTTTTTTCATAAATATAATTATGAAAGTTTTGTGATCTTTAGATTACACATAGAATAAAGTACTACACACTAATCAAGGTAATCCAAGAATCATAAATTTTTCATGATCCCTAACTTTTCTCAAAACTAACACATCAACAACAACAACAAATGTAGGTGCAATTCAAACATACTAGATTTCATTGGAAGCAAGTCACAGACGCAAAGATCAAGTGGTCCGACCAAATTACCCAGTTCCAACCAAACCATTACCAATTAATATATAGTTTAGCAATTGGCTTAAAAAAAAAAAGGGTAAATTTTGGGCAGTGTCAAGCTGAAGAATGTTGCACCACTTTTGGGTTGGTTGTCATGTTTTTAATCATCTCTTCTTTGAGAAGCCTTCTCAATATTTTCCCAGAAGGTGACCTTGGGATTGAATCCACAAACTGAACCACTCTTACTCTCTCATAGTTTGCAACATTAGAGGCGACATGTTTCACGATCTCATCTTCACTTTCTTTGGCATTTGAGTTCATCACCACACAAGCCGCTGGTATCTCCCCCGCTTCTTCATCCGGTAGTCTGAGGAGTTAGAAAAAAAAGGTAACTCAAAAAATAATTAAAAAAAATAATAATTAAGTGCGTGGATCAAAGTCGTACTAAATTTGAATCTAGACCACTTGAGCTGCTTTTTACGGCTCAATAGCTTTTTCTTAAAAATAATGACAAATTATGATATAATGATAACTAAATTTTTATTTATTCAAAAGAAAATAGTGTGGCGTCCAGATTCATTTTAAATGCGAATCTTATTATACATAAATTAAATCTGAATCATATATTATTTTTTGATAGAAATTTTGAATACGTAGAATTAGTGTAATGATATATAAATGATACTTACGGAATAACAGCAGCATCCGCAACAGATGGGTGAGTTAAAAGGATGCTTTCTAAGTGAGCAGGAGCCACCTGCACATTCAAAGTTAATGAAGTTAAGTAACCTCTTATTAATCCATGAACTAATTAACTATTAATATTAATTTGAACTTTACTATATGATAAACAAATTTCTTGATGGGTCCAACTACTATCACTAATAATTAGTCTTTAATTTTGAATATGATTTTCTCCACAAACTTGACAAATAGTTAAATGAGGAGATTTTCTATTTTAAATAAGGTTACCCACACTCCAAATTAGCTTATTACATTGTTTTAACTAATTAAAAAATATATTTTATTTATATATCATGTTAAATATGTGTACCAAATAAATCTTTCTAAAATTATTTTAAACTTTGTATAAATTTTAAATTTATAAAGGAATTTGTGAAAGAGAAAAGAAAATGGATTAAAAAAAGAGATATTTACCAACAAATCTTATCTCACAAATAATTGCTCTAATTAGTTTCAAATTCTTTCTATTGATTTGTCAAGTCCTATTAGTAAAGAGTTTCTTTTCGTGTGGTCTTATTTTTTTATTTTGGTAATTTTTTGGTGGACAATTATACTTTTTTTATTAATATGACAGTTATGATTTGATACTCTAATGTAGCAGGTATTAATGTGATATTCCAAAAAAATTAAAAACTCTTTAGTGTACTTTTTTAAATGTGACAACGTAACGGGTATGATGCGACACTCCAAAACTTTTACTCAAAAAAAAATAAAAATTTCTTAGTGTACTTTTCCAAACGTAACAACGTGACAGGTATGATGTGACACTCAAAAAAAATTAAAAACTTGTTAGGGTATTTTTTTTCAAACGTGACATGTGACATTCCAACATGACGGGTAGATGTGACACTAAAAAAATAATAAAAACTCTTTAGTATACTCCAACGTGGCCACTATGATATGACATTAAAAAACTTTTTAATGTATTTTTTTAAATGTGACACTCTAATGTGACAGGCAAATAAGTCATTACACATTCAAAATGACTAAATGGATCAAAAGAAAAAAAAAATATGAAATTATATGAATTACAAGTCCAAAATATGAGATTTGTTGGTCAATCTCCAAAAAAAAATTTAACAATTACTTTTGGTTCACATTTAAAAAAAAAAATATGAACGTAGAGATAATTATTCAGTAATTTTGAAGTATAAATATATGGTATTCCATAATATTATGATTGATAGAGAATGTGTGTAACTGAGAGATATTGCCTTCGTTTGGGATGTGAGTTGACTTTTTAGCTTTTTGATTTTTCGGCTATTTATGGGGCTAAAAAGTCTCGTTTGAGATAGGCTTTTTAGGTTTTTAACTTTTTGTGAAATAAAAAATAAAATGATCATAATTTGGATGTGATACTTTGTTTTATTAGGCTAAAATGCTTATTTTGTCTTTTTATAACTATTTTAGTCAAAACCCCATGTGGGTGATTAAGGTCTCATTTGGAAACAAGTTATTTTAGTAACTTTTTAATTTTTTGGCTAAATTATAAAGTAAAAAAAAATAGTATATTTGAAATGATTTTTTATTTTTTACGAAAAGATATTCAAAAAATAAAAAAAATAAAATTTTTAACTTTTTAATATAAATTGTAAACCTTTTTATAATATTTTTGACTTTTAAATTAAAAGTGTTACATGCCAAATAAGATTTAAAAAATAGAACAAGACAGAATAAATTACAACTAATTAAGAATACATATCCGTGATATTTCAAAAATAGTCTATAATTTTCCATGAATGTAGTATTAAGACCTTGTTTGTCATCTCCTAACAAAGTTAAAAAGTCACTATTCTATTTAAGTTATATCATCTTATTTAAGTCATTCACTTCTCTATCATATCATTACTTTAAACCCAATCTATATTTTATAAAAAATTTAAAAATATACTTATTCAGAATATCTTAAAAAAAACTCATAATAAGGCTAAAATATCAACATGCAATGATTAGGGAAAAAAACAAATCTTACTTGAAATCCTTTGTACTTGATTAGTTCTTTAATGCGATCCACAATGAAGACATCTCCATCATCGTCAATGAACCCAATATCACCAGTGTGAAGCCACCCTTTTTCATCAATGGTCTGAGCTGTCTCTTCCTCGTTTTTGTAGTAACCTGTAAAGTTAGTGATTTGAAAACCCCATGATTGCTAACCTTTTGAAGTTGTTGTAATGGCAGAGTTACATAACAAGTCTACATCTTCTGCCATTCAAATTATTACACATAATATTCGTCTTCTAAATGAGACGTTATCTTATCAGCTATGGTGTATAAATTCAAATCCAATTGTTAAGACATCTTTAACAATTTATTAAGGCCTTGTTTGGTTTGTGTTTCTCAAAAATTTTTAGAAAAAATTCTCTACAAATAAGTTTTTAAAAGTAATCAAATCAAATAAATTTTTTTAAATTTTTTTTTCAAAACTTATTTGGTTTACAAGTTTTCCAAACAAATCTCTCTCTCATACACATCAAATCAATCACTTTTTCCAAAACTCTCTCTCAAAATAATTTTTCAAAACATCTTTTGAAAAAAATCAAACCAAACAATTTTTTATACTTTTTATCTCTAAAACTTATCTCCCAAACTCAAACCAAACATACCCTAAATATTTTATTAAATTAAAATAAAAATATATAATTTTTTTATTTGATAGCATTCACTTTAACGATAAATTTGTAATTATTATTAAAATACAAGTTATTCGGAGAGACGACCTGCCAATCTTCCAAATAAAAATAAAATAAAATAAAAAATTCACCAGTCTATTGACAATCCACAAAATCCACAAAATTACTCTGTTCAGGAAATGGTTCAATTAAACAAAAACCATCAAAACATACAAAATAAAAAAATAAATAACATAAAAATAAAAAAATGATTCTCATCCTATAAATTCAAGTAGCCCAATCCAATTGCCTTACCAAAGAAAACATCAGTAAAATTCATACCAATTTTCAGAGTTCTATTTTCTTGAAGAGCCAGATCATAATAAAGTCTCATTTAGGAACATGTTATTTTAGTAATTTTTTAACTTTTTATCAAAAGATGTGCAAAAAAAAGAGAGAGTGATGTGATAACTTATAGTGATTTTTAAATTTTTTGACTAAAATAGCTACTCTCCAAACAAGGCCTAAAATTCCAAAACAACTCCAATCCTCATAAGTCACCATTAACAGTTCCAAAAAAACAAAAAAAAATAATTTCTTTTCCTTCTTTTTATTCAACAAACCATAAATCACAACAAAACCCTCATTTTCCAATCCATCATATACTCATCAAACACCAACTCATCACTCTTTTGTTTTCATCTTCTATACACACACACACACACACAAAAAGAGCTATCAAGAGAGAAGAAGAGAGAGAAAGTGTAGATATCAAAGGGAATTGAATGGTTGACGAAATGCTTAAGAGAATAAGATGTTATCAGCAGAACAAAAGAAAGGAAAGCAAAATCGATGTATGTTTGTGCGATATATGCCTTTTAGAAGATCTAGCAAATGAACACACAGAGAGAGAGAGAGAGAGAGAATGCAAAGAACGATGAGAAGGTAGAGACAAATTTGCTTCGGGAGTAAACAACTTTGGAAGCTTGTTGACAGTCCAAACCATCGCTCTATTCTGAGAATTGTTCAAGTAACAAGATGACCGAGGGACAATCGGTCGAACGTCATGTGTGTACCATCTACAACAATCCTGCACAGTGTTCTGGTGAAAGGTGTCCAGATCTTCAATTTAGTGAAACATTTGTTATTTTTTCAATTTGATACAAGTTTGATGAAACTATTGGAGCACAAAAAATAGTACTTTTTTAACAATTTGAATTTGATGATGAATTTGGTACAGCGTTTGAGATAGCCTTACATGCTGTAATTTCTTTTTCTTATTGTAACAACCCAAATTTTTAATTATTCTGTAAAATTTATACTAATATTATTTAATCTTATTGTAACAACCCAAATTTTTAATTATTCTGTAAAATTTATACTAATATTATTTAATCACAATTACGAAAATATACAATTTATTTTGTATTATTATATGTAATTTTGTAAAATAATATAATTATTAAAAATTTATAGATCAAAATATAAATAAATAACTAAGTTAAGCTTATCCATTGAATAGCTTAGTGATAGCAACTAAATGGGGGGTACGTGGGTGGCTACGTGTCACCTAAGCTTGCTGAGCAAGCCTTACATCTTGTATAAAATGAAGAGTTGGGAACAAGAAGAAGGGAATGAAAAGAAGAGAAAAAAAAAAAAAAGGGAAAGAAAAAAAGGAGCCAACGAATAGCCTCGAAAATATAGGAAAAATATGAAGGAAATAGTAAGACTTAATCTTAAGGTGAGTTTATATTATAACTTGACTTATCATAATATATTTTACTTATATTTTGACTTACCATAATTTATTTTATACAAGTTGTATTTTATTAGTTATAGTAATACAAGTTATATTTTATAAATATTTCAGTTACGTGGATTAATTTTTGAACTCTATTTGTTTAAAATGAAAACCCATTGATATGTTTGTTTATGTTTTAAAGAATATTTGACTATGACTTTATAAACAATTATGTTTTGTAAGTACCACCACGGGAGTCTCATGCCTTAGGGGACTTAAATAACCATTGGTTTTTGTTTGGTCACTTTGTGGGACTCTATTGTCATGGATCTATTGACCTCTGTTTTGTGCGGAGTAAAGTGTTGTGCGGAGATAAGTGCTATACTATTGTGTGAGCCATCTTTATAATCCGTACGAGCCACCTATTAAATCTGTACCTCTGTTCTGACTGTCACTCCTGTGACCTATATTCTGTTCTATACCGTGGTTATGATTATTTATTTACATAATCTCAGTTTTGCTACTTAAATGATTATTTATTCAGATTGAGTTATCTTAAATATTTTCGTTACATAACTATCTATGGTTATTTTGGGTTTCTTATACTTTTGGTATAATATTTCTCACTCTGCCATGTGCTTATAGCTGTTTACCAATTTTTAGAAAAATAATGTAATTCAGAAATAGCTTTTGGAAAGTCTTAGATGCGGGGCTGCGAAATAGACACACACAATACTTTTATGATATATTTACATGTAAATATCAATTTTTTTGGTCAAGAAATTTTGTAATAAAAATAGAAGCTCCGATGATTATTTTGATACATTTACTTAAATATTATTTCCGTTCGCATTTATTAATTTATTCAAGAATTGACTAGAGGTAATTTCAGTTACTAGCCATCACGATACTTAACCATTGAGTACGGGGAGCGGATCGTGACACTTACTCTGATGAAACCAATTTTATATAGACAATAAATTCTCTCCAATTGGACAAAAGTACTATTGGGCTTGATAGGTTGTGCCTATTTTAACGATTCAAATAGTTTATTTTGCAATTTTAGTTTTGAGAATAAAAAATGAACAACTTAGGTTTCGTTTGGTATGCCTTCTAAATTATAGTTTCACTCATTGTTTTCAGTGGGGTGTTTGCTTTGAGCTTTTAACTCATAATTCTACACTTCAAAACATAATCATTACTTTTCAAAACTCATAACCAAACACATAATTCAAAACTTAATTCAAATCAATATTTTAATTTTGTTAAGATTTTAAATATTTTAATATTTAAATATGTTATGATTTTTTTAATTTTTTGAATATTTTTAAATATTACGATTTTAATTTTTTAAATTTTAAAATATTTTATAAAAATAAATTCAAACTCTATTTTATAAAAATATTTTTAAATATTTTAAAAAATTTAAATCATAAATATTTAAATAATTTAAATAATCTAAAAAATTTAATAAGTAAAAAATTAAAATAAATATTCAAAAATTTTAAATCGTAAAAATTTAAATAATTTAAATATTTAAAAAATTAAAATAATTTAAAATTTTAAAATTTTAAATTATTTTAATTTTTTAAATATTTAAATTATTTAAATTTTTACGATTTAAAATTTTTGAATATTTATTTTAATTTTTTACTTATTAAATTTTTTAGATTATTTAAATTATTTAAATATTTATGATTTAAATTTTTTGAATATTTATTTTGAAAAAAAATTATTTCCTTTGTAGTATTTTCAATTAAAAAATTGATTAATGTTATTTTCTGTTAATAATAAATTTTTTTAATTGAATTTTAAAAAGAGTTTGGTTATGAGTGTTGATCAGAATTTTCAATAGTGTGAAAGTAGTGTGTTTTGTTATGAGTTATAACAATTTAAGTTAAGTTTTGAAAACTCTTTCCAAAACTCATAACCAAACAAATTTTCTTACTTCACATGTCAAATCAAACTTTCAAAACTCAATTTCACACTCAATTCAACACTCTATTAAAAAATTATAACCAAACAAATTTTCTATACTTAAATCATAATTTCAAAATATACAAATTCAAAATACAACTCATATTCTCAAATCATAGTTAGAAAGTCTTACCAAACGGAACCTTAGTTGCTCTCTTTTCTTTTTAAGTAGAGTTCGTTAAGTAGCACATTAATGTAAAAAAATTAAAATAATTGGACATTAATAAATATATCATTATATCATATTTATATTAAGAAATGTGATATGATGATATAATTACTAATATTATATCAATTTTACTTTTTACATAGATGATTGGCTTAGTACAATCATATAAAATAAATAATTATTTTCTTTTATTTTTTTCTTTTTTATGTGCTTCAAAAATATACAAAATAAACAATTTAAACTATCAAGATAGACTCACCTAGCGTAACAACATCTCACCTAATTGCCCAACGAGAGAATCACTTACTTCTAAAAAAGCAAATATCACAATTTTTTGGGGGTAGGAGTGTAAATCTGCCCCGGTCTAGCTTGACCTATGTTAGGCCTTGCGGGCTCTAGCCAAATTCAGGCTAACCCGACCTGCAAACCAAAAAAAATAGGCCCATGGATAGTCGGCCCAATGGGCCTAGCCTTGGGCTTGGGTAGGCCCGCCTTTTAAAAAAAAAAATTTTTGCTAAATTTTTATTATTTTCTATTAAGACAGACATTGGATTTCGGGCGAACCAAGCCTTGAGTGGGTCGATAGATAAGGTTTCAAAATGATGGGCCAAGCCTAGGGACTCGGGCCCAGGCCTAAACGGGCCGGACTCACTTCATGTCGTGGGCAGGTTTCGGACCGCCCACGGACACGGATTATTTTTTCACTTCTGTTTGGGGATACTTCGCATTTTTTTTTGTTTTTGTTTTTTTTAGGTATATCGGAAATAAAGGGGGTACCTTGCATTACGCATGGGCTTCGAACACAGACTTCGCCAGGGGTGTTCTTGGGGAGAGATCGACCTGTGTTTGGATCAACAAACTTTAGTTCCATATTGGGAAGGATAAACCCAACCGAGTTTTTCTTTGCAATTCGATGACCCTTGTTTGGATCCCCGTGGGTAAGTGTTATGCAACTATGCTCTGTCATTCCATATGCCTAGCATTGACAAAGTCAGATTAGTATACAAACACTATTTTCATCATAACATCAGATTTTGAATTGAGTGATTTGAAGAGGGAAAAAAAAAAGAAGAGAAAAGAATAATGGTATATCTCTCCTTGTTTGAAGCAGTTTAGAGAGAAATGAAGATAAGAGAGTGGGTTATCCTATGTTTTTGAGATAAAAGTTATAGGATCATTTTCGACGATCTCAACTGTTTAGTAACTAATTTGAAATTAGCGAATTTTGTTGTCTATCTCATCTTTTCAAATTACACAATCCAAATGGAAGTGCATCGAAACGAATGCTCACCTCCTGCACATCCACACCAGGGAACTTCTTCTCAAATCCCCTAAGAACCTCCGGTGCAAGCGGAGCTGCAGCGGTCATGACAGCCCTAAGCTTCAACTCACTAAGATCAAACTGATCGACTGCTCGATTTTTAACCAAGTCCGATATAATAGCAGGCACAATGGGTGCAAAAGTGACTTCATGAGTGATCAAAGCTTCCAAAAATGTCTCAATCTTGTACCTGCCCATAACCACCACCTTCCCTTTGTTCTTCAGGGTGGCGCAACATATTCCGGTCATTCCATATATGTGAAAGAATGGCATTAGGCCGAGTGTGGTCACCTGTGTTGGGTTTTTAGATGCTAAAAACACTTGAAACATATATTCACTTGCACATAATTAAATATATCAAATGTTAAAATTACAAAATCAATTGATCAAATTACATAATACAAAGAACATGCTGGATGTGAGATTGATGAGAGGCACGACCAGTTTTGTCGCCCTTCGTGCAAGTTTTAATGGACCAAGTACAACTCTACAATACGCTCAAAAGCTCAGTTACACATGATTGGTAGTAAACAGGATATCAAGTTTGTCTCAAATTGCATATTTTTCATCTTCTAGGATCTGAATGGTGGTTCGGTTTTTTCTTTTTCATCCGGTAGTGAATTTTTTAAAATTTGTCAATTTTTATTTTTATTTTTTTATATTTGCCTCAAAAATCTTTAAATTCAGCTTTTGTAAGCCTTTTTCCATTTTCAGTGATTTTTTTATTTTTTTTCAAAATTGACTCAATTTTTTTAATTCTAAATCTTTGAGTCCAGACGGGCTTAAAAAACAAATTATTTTTTGACTCAAAAAATCGAAATTAAAAAAATCAAAAGAGTAAGTTGAATTTTTTGGTTTATCCAAATGAAATAAGATATATTCACAATGGACATATGATATCTATTGGCTTGTGTCTGTTAGGCTATGTTTGGAAACCAAACATTTGAATTAAAAAGTAAAAAAAAAAAAATTATTATAAATTCTCAAATTATTTTCTCTAATTTTTTGCATCAGTCAAAATATAACTAAAAATGTCAATTCCCAAACGCGACTTTAATTTACCTGTCCGACAAGTTCGGGTCCGACACTGAAGAGTGTAGAGCAGAGATTGGCGACGAGATTGCGGTGAGTGAGCATGACGCCCTTGGATGTGCCGGTGGTGCCAGAAGAGAATGGAAGAGCGCAGAGATCGGTCTGGAGGATGGTTTCGTTGATGTGGTCGGTGTTGGCTCTATCTGCTGCTTCCAGCAGTTCGTCCCAGTATATGGCGCTCTCTACCTTTTCTTCTCCTAGTACTATTATTGGCAGTCCCAGCGATTTCACCTGTTGTGTTCAATGGGTTAATTATTACAAGGATTAAATTAATCGTACATTGCATGTACAAAAATTGGTATTCTTGTTTTGTATGAGTGATTCATGCAATGTTTTTTGAAATCAGAAAACAGTACTTGTCTCACTTTCATTGTCAATAGCTGATGATAAAAAAAAAAAATTAAATGTCCCTAATAACGCGTTTGTTATTTGATTGTACTAATCACCAAATTGGTGATTTTTCAAGAAATTGTGCAAGAATAGATAGGCCATGTTTGGTTAAGTTTATGGCATTGCTTTTAACTGTTTTTTTTTAATTTTTTAATTTTATTTTTTGAAAATTTGCACTACAGTGTTTGTGTTAGGTGCAACTTCTATTTTACAATTTATAAAAAATAATAAGTTAAAAAAATTGATCATTGAGTTTTGTTTTTGTTTTTTTAAAACTCGTTAGACTTTACGCTAGCTTAATCTAAAAGGGAAAGGAAAACAAGATCACCCCAACGCCCCACATTGAAAAGTTAAAAGAGAATGTTTTTAATTTTGTTTTTTTATTATCAACTTTTAATTTACTAGAAACTATATTGAGAAATTGATTCATTATTTCTAAAAAACGAACTTGTTTGATTACGTTTTCATTGTCTTCATTTTCATTTTTTATTTTCATTTTTAATGTTTTCAAAACTAGAATAATGAAAATTTTATGACATCTATAGTTTTTTTTTTTTTTGCAAAAATTATTTATAGAATTTTAAAACCAACTTTTTTTAAAGAAAAAAATGCATGTTGTTTTTTGAGAATATTTTTCTCAAAAATTGGGTTCAACAGAATTTTCTAAACAAATAATTAAAACACTAAAATGTAATTTTTAATTTTTTGAAAATTATTTTCATTAAAAAAATAAAAATAAAATTCAACTTCTCATAGTTACCTTGACATAGTTTGGTCCATTGGTGACGACAAGCTTGGCGTCGGCAGCCTCCACCTGCTTCCTAATCTCCGACTCATGCGCCGCCGGATTAGCGCCGGAAAACACCCCACCCGCCGCCATAATCCCAAGAGCAACAACGGCATACTCCACCACATTCGGCAGCAGCACCACCACCACTCGTCCCTTCCTCAGCCCTAGAGACCTCAACGCCTTTCCAAACCTCTTTGTGTCTCTAACCACCTCACCATGTGTGTACTCTCTTCCACTTCCTACCTCCACAAACGCCACCCTGTCGGCAAACAATTCGCCACCCGGAGCACGAATTCCGCAGCGTCGTGTTTTCGGGGCACGGTTTATATAGGCTTTGGAAAACATGGTGTTCTTGTTGTTCTTGACCTAGTTGTGTTGCCATTGGTGTTGATGGGTGAGAGGGAAAGGGGTTGATTGAGAAGTTTTTTATAGGATGAAGATGAAGATGAAGATGAAGATGAAGATGAAGATGATTATGGGTCGTGCATGAGATTGGCATGGGCTTTGACAGGTGGGGATTTGTTGAGTCATGTTTGGTTTACTTTCAATACTTTGGAATTTTTTATTTTGTGTTTCGGTCATAAATTTGAGTATGGATTTTTTTTTTTAAAAAAAAGAGGTGAAATGTTTCACTTTTATTTCATCCACATTTTTTCTTTTATTTTCAAAATTTTTATCCAAATTTATGATTTAAATACAAATTGAAACTGAAAATTTGCCAACCTTCAAACTTGGGGACAAAGATGACCTCTGTATAGTTATCATGTGCATATTTACCTAATACGCCTAAGTACATTATTTAAAAAAAGAAAAATTAAAAATCTTTATCTGTTAGTTTTTATAATTATAATTTTTTTTTTAAAACATTTCCGAAGCACCAAAAAAATAATTATAACTTTTAGATTATTAAATTTCAAAAAAAAATTATCAAAAATTATAAATCTATTTAGTATAACTTTTGATAATCTATATATATATAAAAAAAAGTAAACATGTTTTATTAAATAAGTTGTTATAATTTTTTATATTGTGCAATATGTATTTAAGGTTTAAATAAGTTTTTTTTTTTAAAAAAAGCTAGAAATTGTAATTTTAAAAAATCTCTTATTTTTTGTACCAAATAAACTAAAAAATTTAAATAAATTATAATTTACCATTACAAGCACAACACCATCATTAATCACTTTTACTTTTGTTGTTTTATATGTACAAATAAGTTGACATTTAGGCCCAAATTCAACCATGTAGGACTTTGTTGCCCAAACTTGCACAGCGCAAATTGATCCTCGTGTGGATTTGTTAAAGGCCCAAATTCACTCTTACGGCCCACGTAGATGGGCAATTGTTTTAGGGCGATGTGGTGCCGCGTCAGGCTTGAGTTTAAAATGGTCTCGTTGGAAGAGTCGATTATTTTAATAGGTTATTTTAATTTCTAACTATTTTAATAAGTTAAAATATTTATATTTGAGAAGGTTGTTGAATTTTTTTGTAGTTGAATGTGATGTTTGTGAGAGAAAAAGTGAAATGATTATGAATTTAATGTGACGTTTTATCTTATTAGTTATTTTAGCCTATTTTATCTTTTTATGAATTTTAACCTAAAAAGTAAAAAGTAGTTGCCAAACAAGGCAGTGTATGTATTGTCCATTTCAGCTTGTCTCATGTCCAATAAGTTATTTGGTGTTTTTGGACACGTGATGGTATCATATGTGTGTCGTGATTAGTCAAGAGAGTAAAATTTATGATTTTGTATCAAGTAATTAAAGAATCACAAGAAACATAATAATTTATAATTGGTCAGAAACATAACCACGTGGTGCCTTCATACCAAGAAATAATTTTTTTGTATATCTACCCTTAATCCATTGTCCAACTCCACAATTTTATTAAACTATTACTGATTAAGTAGGAGTGACAAGTTATACTTTGAAAACATAGAAAGACTAGTGTTATATAAATAAATAAAAATATATACATAATTTTTATGTATAATAAAATGATTTTTTTAATGAATTTTTACTTGAAAATAAAATATTATTAAAGATGAATTTATTTATAATAATAGTATTATAGTATTTTTATATATATAAATTTTATATATGAATATAATTTTTTAAATAAAAATAAATAAAAAAAAGAAATGACAAGTGGCAGCTTAAGATCTATCTAAACTTACCGACAATAAATTGTACTATACTGTGATTTTGGCCAATTTTTAAGGATCTGTTTGGTAACTATTTCGTTTTCAGTTTTCAATTTATATTTATAAAAATTTAAAAAACAGTCATAAAAATTTGTTCAATAATTTTTTTTGATTTATAAATGATTATCTCAGTTTATAAATTTGAGGAAAAAACGTAAACTTAAAAAATGAGTTTACGTTTTCAGTTTTTAATTTTTTTTTCAAATAATTTTTTTTTCAAATATTTTTTTTCCAATTAATATTTTTCAATTAATCTTTTTTTTTCAATTAATTTTTTTTCCCAATTAATTTTTTTTTCATTTTTTTTAATTATAATGTGTATGATCCCATTTTCATAAATAATAAAAATAAATATAAATATTTTAGGCCTGAACAAACATATTTTTTAGTTTATATTTTTAAATTTTTTTAAACATTTTGTTCAAACCAAACGTGCTTATAATTTATATTTTTCTAAAAATAAATAAAATCAGTTTATAAAATTTTTGTAAACATAAACAAAAAACATAAACGTTATCAAACACTACCTAATTATTTTATTTTTTTATTATTGGATAGTCATTCATTTTATAAAGACTTGTATTTTTATTAAAGGGATGTTTGAGAAGTAAATATTTTAATTAAAAAAATTAAAAAGTTAATATAAAATGGCACACAAACTCTAAATAGTTGTAAGAATCTCACTTTTTGAGCAATAATAATATTACCGTGGTATATTGACATTCATATCTTCCAGTAAATTAATAAAACGACAATGTTAGGTAATTTAAATTTTTGTGGCTCAAATGGTTCAAATCTGTTAAAACGACGTCGTTTTGACAGATTTTGAGTGTAAAACGATATCGTTTTGACAGATTTAAGCCATTTAAACCATAAAAATTTGAGTTACCAAATATTTTCCTTAAAAAAATATATAAATAACAGCGTATTTCGAACCCTCAGATTCAAAAACAAAAAAGTAAAGGATTGAATGAGTAAAAGCAATGCACACGTAAAAGAAGGAATCGAAATCATAATGATGCATAATGATGATGATGATGATACACAATCCCATATACATAATTCATTCATTTATTTACCCACCAAAACTAATACTAGCTTTTCTTCTTCCCTAGACAAACAAGAAAGAAAATGAAATCATTACACACCTCAACACCCACAATACCCCCTCTTGGTTTTGACAAATCTAATCATTAAGTCATGCTCCGGAACTCTAATTAGAGCGGCAAAAGGACAGCTCTAATGAGCTGTCAACCAATAAAAAAAAAAAAAAAAAATAGTGAAGTAAAAGACAAAAAATAGGGAAGAAAAAGACAAATTAATGCTCTATTAGAGCACTTCTTTTAGAGGTCTAAATCATTTTTGTTAATTTAACCTTTCTCCTTCCAACCTCTCAAACTTTAGCCCCTCTCTCTCCTCTCCACATAAAAATCTTCAACCAAAAAAAAAAAAAAAACTTTTCTTTAGTTATTTCAATTTATACATTGTGAAAAAATTTAACAATTTTCACAAAATTTTCATCCAATCCTTATTAATCACTATTGACTTTGTCATAAAGATGTGGGGATAATATTTAAGATTTCGAATTCAAATCAACTTAGGTCTTATTTAGAGATTAGGAGTATAAGTGACTATAAGTTATCATCTCTTTCTTTATTTTTTACATTTTTTTGTAAAAAAATTAAAAAATTAATTAAAACAGCTAATTTCCAAATTGGGCTTAAGAAGTTAATGGAGGTTTCTCTTCTTCTCCTTCTTCTTCTTTTTTTTTTTTTTTAACATTTATTTTAGAAGAGATTAACTGTAAATTTTTCCTTTATGTTTTTTATATTCTAACTTGAAAATTTACCTACAATAATTTGCAATTTAGGAAATGGATGGTAATGTGTGGCTTACTTTACTCATGAGCTTGTATCATGCCACTGAACAAGGGGGGTAGGGATGTCACGAACCCAAGTGGTTTAATCATCACTTCTGCGTATCTTTTATCAAAATGTATTACGAAACCTATGATGGTTGGTCATTTGGGTCGACTAAGTAGTTTATTTATTTATTTATTTTGACGTGTATAAGCCTATAAAGATTATGAATTATTATGAACAATTTAAGTCCATCACTTGGAATCTAATACATAACCCAGTTGGTGAGGTCCAGGACAGTTGGAATCCAACATGGCAAAAAGAGTCAATGACATTCAGACACATGGCAAGTGAAGGACGAGCCACATCAGCAGACAAAGATCTGCAAAGTTATTGTCACTGCACATCACTATTAATGCAGCCCATCACAGCATTTATTACGACAACACCTCTCCGTCGGAACATGACCCCCTTACCCTGAACAAGGTAAGCTACAGCATAGACTTTCGGCGAGGAGGTCAGGTCGGAAGGGACAGCGAAATGATTATCAAAGGATATAAGCAAACGTTGAAGACAAGAAGAAGATTAAGTTTTTCTATCTCTAATCTCTCCCTCTACACTCTACTTCTCTTCCTAACTTGCTCGTCGGAGGGTTCACTGGGGGACTACCCCGTTCGCCATTGAACTTGTTTGCAGGTTATCCGGTGAACTTGATCATTTGGACCTGGGCTTGAGGAGCTTGGACCAGTCCGATCCATTCACTGGGACAAACTGTATCATCAGTTGGCGCCGTCTGTGGGAAGTGGTTCTTATCCAGACGCCAATTGTACTCATTGTCGCCGGAGACCCTGTCCTAACAACCTTTTCCTCCTACCCATCCAAGTGTATGGTCACGACTAGATCCATGGCTTTTCACCATAATGCTGCCGACCATCAAACCGACTCTTCCAATTCAAACAACCCACCACAGTATATCATTGAGCGTACCAACAGCATTAACCGCATGGCCGAACAAAACCAGGCCCTGATAAATGCTTTACTCGAAAGAAACCTTCCGATGCCTCCTCCACCACCTCCAGATATCCCACCCAACCAAGAAAGAGCCCCGAGCCATGCTGTTCTGCAACCCTATCCACCCAACTTGGAAGGTTTGCAACCTCCCCCCCGCATATAAATCTACCACCTCCACCCCCACACCCTTCGGTCGTGGCACCAGCCCCTAAAGGGGAAGCCAGCAGCGTCCAGCCTCCATTGACTGACCATGGTGACCACATTCCCCTCTGGGACGCTGAACTCCGAGCAATGAAGCTCCAGTTCCAA